CATGCATCATGTGTTACCATTTATGGAAACACTGAATGCAAGAGGTATATGATATCCCAAGCCTTTTAGCCTAAGATGATACACAACACTTTTTTTTAGTATTGATATACATTTTAATAAATTATTAGAAACATCTGGGTATTACAATATCTATACGCCCATCACCTATGCACCAAACAATATTATAATTTATGTTGTTCATAAATTATTATTCATGCAATTTTGTTTTCTTTAAAAAGATATGGATAAAGTCTATGAATTGTACGGTAAGTTATCTATTAATGGCATTGTATATAAAAATTAAAATAATTCATAATTTATCATAAATGTTTATGTGCTTAAAAATCAAGTTAGTCAATACTAATATTATATCTATTGAATTAGGACATTTATTGAATTTCTCAAGTTGTATGTGAAACAATTATTCCGTACAGCCAAACTCAATTATAATGAGTTTCTGTAATTTAACCACAAGTAAAAAAAAATCAATATTAACATCAATACTAAACTAAATTCAACTCAATAAAGAATACTACACTATACACGACTATCACAAAGTTCACTGAAGTCTGAAATGAATAAAAAAAATAAAAATGCCGATCGGTTGTTGTGTTTTAAAATTCGTAGCTTTTTTATCTTTAATAAGTAATTTAATTAAGTATGCTTAATTGTATTGTCTATTTATTCTAATTTTTCTAAATGAATTTAAATCTTGTTTTAACGTTTTGCGGTTTTGATGAATTTGATAATGTTGGATATTGACTAAAAATGATTGTGATAAGTAATTCAGTTAATGATACGGCAGGTTGGAATTCGTTCTGATGATGTGATACATTCAGCATTTAGTGATAAAGTAGTTGATATAGTGACTGGGACCCTTCGGGCTAATATTAATAATTATTATTCACACAACAATTTATTCCATTTCCATTCATATATTAAGTACACACACACCACCTTCATGAATATCGTTGCATTCATCTAAATATAAATATATTTCAATAATGTATAATTGTTAATTACCAATTTAAAATCACACAAGGACAAATACACATCTTACCATTAAACCCACCCCTTCCTCCACCAAATATACTTGCCGAGTTTGTATTACATTTTATTGATATTTATTAAATAATATTTAAACAGGAGTTAATGATCCGAGTACAAGCTCAACAGGTATATTTTTGGGTTAATATTTGTTGTTAGTCATTCATATATACCTATAGTTCTTTTGTTTGAAACTAATTTAAATAAGGAGTTGTTTCATAGTTTCCTCACAAAACGTTACAGGTATGAAGATGTCTTCTTTAAAATGAATATGCAATAGAGAATAGTACACCGTACACGACTGTCACCAGGTTAACTGAAGTCTGAAATCAATAATAAATTAGAATGCCGATCAGTTATTGTTTTTAAAATTAGTAGCGTTTTTATATTTTATGACAAAAAGAACCATTTGGCTAAAAAGTGATTTATTTAATTGTAAATAATGTTTTCATCTACGTATTTAAATTTTTCTAAATGAATTTGAATCTTAGTTTGAAGTTTGGTGGCTATGAAAAATTGGATAATGTCATTATCCAACAATGTCACTTAAAAATTTGGACAAATTATTTACTTCTATTGATTTTCGTGTGTTACTTATGTTACGAAAATGGTATTTTATTATAGTAAAATTATCGAGCCATCAAGGATAATTTATTCTCTGCACTTAATGTACTTTCACCTAACTATACCAGACGGTTCTTTTGAAAAACCCTAATTCATAAATATTAATGTTTATAAAAAAATAAACAGTTTCACACAGTTTATGGTAGATAAAATCAACATTTAAAAATTTAAAATATAAATATTTTAAAATATTTTTATCTTTATCATTATTTAAATTTTTTACTTGAAACAATGAGAAAAAAATATTTTGAAATAATAAGGTTCTTACTAATTAAGCACCCATTATATTTTTCAAGTTTGTATTACATTATATTTATATTTATTTAAAAATATTTAAACAGGGAATAATGATTCGAGTACCTCAAAAAGTAAATTTTTTAAATTCATATTCTTTATTAGTTATTTATATATACCTTAAGTTCTTTTTTTTAGAAACTTATTTGAATACGAATTTATTTCATAGTTGCCTCACCCAGCGTCACCCGTGCAAAGATATGTTTTTTTTGTTTACTACATTTTTAATAGAGAACAGTACACCGTACACGACTGTCACAAAGTTAACTTAAGTCCGAAATAAATGATAAATATAATTTGACTGTTTTAAAAATTCGTTGTTTTTATATTTTATCGTGACATGAGTCCGGTATTTTTCAGGTACAGTTTTTTATGTAGTAAATTGCACCCAGTATAAATATTATTTTTATGATAGTCATTTAGCATAACTAAGAGGACACCAAGAGGACTCGACTATCATTGTCCTCCAAAAATTTTTTTTTCTTGGTTTTTTTTTAAATGAATAAATTGGTTAATATGTTGGGTTCAATATTTGTTGGTAGATTAATTTAATATGCTGTAGATAATAATTATACAATTAAAAAATAAAAATCATTATACAGTAATACAATTATAAGTTATACATCAGCATAATTTTGAGACATCATTTTCATGTATTCAACACTATTTCACCCAAAAAGCTTACTAAAAAATGACCTATACTTAAAGTCGATTGATATCGTTAATATCATAGAACGGAAAGTGCAATTTACTGTACCCATTTTAAAAACTGAAAAATCCCTGGCGAAATCTACTCAAAATTAACTCGGTCTTCGTAAGCTGTTGTAACATTCAAACAATAATAGCGTAATGATAATTTAGTCAATTTTATTACAAATGTGATCGTTTAACTGTTGTATTGTGAGTGACTTGTGTTTGGTGAGGGTTACAGTGTCTTAGACTAAATATTCAAGAAATTACTCGGGTTTTACACGATGTTTACGAAAATCAAAACAAAATATTTACGTGTACAGAGTTAATGGTCAGCTGGCGACATCGTCGGCAATGTGTTTCAATTATAGCGGAACTGGGTCACGTTGTGACCAATTGTGTCAAACTGGCGGCTGACATCGATGACTGCATTAACGTATGACACTATGGCGGTATCAATTTTTTGGTCAACGCCCTGCGTGGTTATCGGCAGTAGTGCCGTATCCACGATTTAAGAGTATGGTTGGCCAACCATAAAACCACGATGTATGGAAGATATCTCTTCTAGATCGTGCATAGAGCAATAGGCTCAACGAATCATGATACATTGTCAACCAAAATCACTATTAAATACTTCAGGGAAACTCACCACTACCGTTTGTATAAAAAAGTAGCGGTAAGCTCAAATCTGTCACACTGTAAATCCTGCTTCTATACATCGGTACATATAATTTTGCTAGCGCTGTTCTGGTCCTTTAATTTGGTTGCCACCTTAAAACGACTTGATCATAGGTTGTCGAGAAACTATACCATCTTAAATCTTGGGCATACAATCAAATGAAAGCGTCTGGCCGCAGTACGTTGTACATTATCACGATCATTCATGATTGCATGGGTTTCACCCTTCGTACCAGAATACTTATGACGTAATCCTAATTAAGCGGTCCTGGGCAACTGGAAAACACACTCCTGGTTCAGTATCTTAATGTTAAATAATATAAACAAGTAATCTGATGTATGTGTCAGCGTAAGAAATAACTCTTTCCTTTTCGCTAACTTGAAGTGATTCCTCTTCTTGGAGCCAATTAGACGCGAATAAGGCAGTTCTGTTCGTCGTGATTGTCAAAAGTCGCTCGTGTGGTGTAGTGGTGGTGGCAGGTGACACACGGAATTTTTAAACACTCGGCGTGACGATTACAAAGTTGTTCAAGTTTTTTAGTTGAAAATATGTAAAAAAAATATTTTCAAACAATTTTGAAATGTTGAGTGTATTACGTATTTTACTTGTTAAGTTGGTATTACATTACATTAATATTGATTGTATATTATTTAAACAGAATTTAATATTCCTATCTCAATGACAAGTAATTTTTAAATTAATATACTATAAACATAACAAATTGTAATATAGCCATAGGTACTTATTTATCATTTTTTTTTTGAATAGAGGAAGAGTTTAGTCAAATATCTAGTAAGTTAAATTGTAAAAATGTATTGGTTGGTAATGACATAAATCATAAACATTTAACATATACATTTAATTATTACACTCATTTAAAAATAAATAAAATTATTTTTAGGTTACACAGAGTCCCCACGAGTATATTGTCGTGGATTATACACCACTCCTGACTAAACGTAACTATGATTCAGACGCATTTCACCTATACAATAACCTTGAATAAACGATTTTAAATCTCATAGTAGAAATATAACTAATATATTAAAATAAATTAATATTTTAAAAATTAAATCGTTTGATTGAAAACTGTATTTTTTTTTGTGCTTTTTCATTGATTTTAAGTTATGTTTTAATAAACAAGTGTAATGTTAATAGCTTTAGTAATCGAAGCAGACATTTATAATTTGAAGACCAATAAAAAAATTAATTGTATTATTTTAAATTGAATTATTAAATAATAAAATATGATTATATTACCTTAACATAAAACCTCTTTTGTTAATTTTTTATTTTAGATTCTGAACTAAGCAATGACTAAATTGATTTTATAGTGATGTGAAATGTGTGGTTTTGTTTCTGTCTTTAATCAACATTTTGATAATGTGAAAATGGAATGACAAACAATGTTCCAATTTCCGACATTAGAATGTTTGCTGATAGAAAAAGTTATTTATTTATTTATTAATAATAATTAACGGGCGATGCTCTTTGAATACGATAAATAATACATTTAAATTCTAAAGTACTTGAAATATACATAATACCATTGATTATAAATATTATAGATAGCTCACTGCTCACTGCAGTACAAAATACGCTGCACCGTAATTACTCCCGATAGAGAGCGTTAAGGAATTCGGCATATAATAAAATAAAATAATTATTACCAGGGGTACGACACTCCGTGAATTGGTCGGATCGGGCGATTGTGGCCTTGAAAATTTACAAAAGTAAACAAAATCTGAATAATGAATACTACGTCCTGTACGTCCTCATCGTTTCGATATTCCGGAATGGTGGGAGTAGTCAATGGATCCAAAAGCATGTCCAACATATCTTCTTCTAGCGTTCCTGTCATTATATTTTCCAACAATTCACAAGGTACTTTTGTTGCCAGTCCCATTCGTGCTTTTTGACCAAAGAATGATTCATATGGAGTCATCTTTATAGCTTCGTGGTATGTGGTATTAACGCCCCATTGTACAAAGGCGAGGCCGTAACTCCATGCGGCAGTTTTGTTGTCTCGCATCCACGCCACCAGCGAATCCTTCAGTGTACAATTACCTCTTTCTACAGATCCTTGGCTTTGTGGATAACGTGGCAGACCATTTACTAATATTAAATCTGGCCATAATAACGCTAATTCTTTTATAACACCGGCAGTGAATTCGCGACCATTATTGGACTGTAGAACGTGAGGTGCACCAAACGTCAAAAATATGTGTAACAGTTCTTTCGCCACTTCCGAAGCCTTTTTGCATTTCAGAGGCCGGAAAAATGAAAACTTTGTCAAGTGTTCTTTGTAATGAAGAATAAATTTAAAATCACCGTCAGGTAAACTTTGAAAGTCAACAAGGTCCACTTGCCCACGTTCATTTAAAGAAGAAGCTAAAATAGGCCGCACAACAACACCTCGCGTACTTTTTTTTTTTGATTTTTCCACACACCTTTCACAATTAGCAATATAAGCTTTTACATCAGCCATAGTTATATTAGAGTAATGCTCCATTATTTTTTTGTGTGTTTTTGTCTCACCTTTATGTCCACTGGCCACATGCATATCACGGATAATACTATGGAAACTGTCGACTACTGCCATAATACGTTGATCGCGTTTCCGTCGCACACGTCTTACGCCAGCTACCTCGATCAAATCAAATTTCTCACGGACGTGATAATACCGCCTATCTTTATTTATAGAAGCATCATCAGTTAAAATTTTAACAGCTTCGGCATCTCGTTCTGCTGTCCATTTAGAGTCCATAGTAAATAAATATTATTATTTATTATTTTATTATATTTATAATTGATTATTGCAACTAATAAACGCACTTTTAGAACCGTCACACACTGTTAACTATTTCAGCAGCCGAAACGAATAACTGAACGTTGAACATGTAGGTAGGGAATATTTGTCACATTATTTTATCAAAACAATACAAATGCCTTAGTAACTAAGATAAAGTCACGCGGCACGGCAGTGTGGAGGCGTCTATCATCATAGGTAATAAAGATAATGATGTGGTAAGGGTGACGCCAATGGGCAATGGGTTCAAATATTGGTTATTTATATATCTATCACTATTCGTAATAAATTATGTTCGTAATAATATGATACCGAATTCATGAAATCGGCAGAAATATTGCCGATTTCACGTTTTCTGCAACAGCGATGCTGATTTCATGAAATCGGCAATTTTTCTACCAATTTCATGAAATCAGCAATTTCACAAATTCGGCGTAACATATATACCATATTTAGACTCTATTATTAGCTCGTTCACTAATCGATTTAATGAAAACAATGGGACTCCATTTAAATTATGTTAGTTGCTTCCAAATGAAATGGTTAAACTACAAAAAAATTAATATATTAACATACTTCAAGATATTGAAAATCATTTTAAAATGCCTAATATAAAAGTTAATGGTTTAATTTGATATGATTATTGGCAATTAAAATCACAATTATTTATGAAAGATACTATGGTGGATTATAAAAAATTATTAAAGAAGAGTGAATTTTTTCCTGCTGTCAAGAAAGGTATAATGATATATATTACATTGCCGCCTACGAAATGCACTGTAGAACGATCAATCAGTTTACTAAGGAGAGTAGAGACATGGGCGAGATCTACAATGAGTGAAGAAAGACTTGATGGCTTATGTATGATAAGCGTATATAGGAAAAAAATTGATGATAAAAAGAATGAATGTATAGAACAAGTTATAAATAAATTTGTTGTTAAAAAAAGAAATTTACAATTTTTATTTGTAAATTAATATTTTAATAAATATAATTAATGTAAAAAATGTTGATGTCCAATTGATATTATTAATTAAATAAAAATTTCAATAAATTAATTTTATAGTTAATTGGTTAAATAATTATTATTTTATAATCCTCCAGTTTGATGTGTGTAATGTAATAGTATAATGTAAAATTGTAAACCCCTGCCTACCTCGTGGTCATTCCTATTTATAAATATATTGATAAATTAAAATGTTGTCCCCCCCTTGAGAATTATATTATGGGCGCCCTTGACGAACGCAACAACTTGAGTTGCAATGGCGTTTGATTGGAAGTCATCCGAAAACCATCGATAAAAGTGGAACCAGATGTTTGCTGAGTAGAACACAGACAACAAATGAAACTCTGATTCCTTACTCTCAACTCTCAAGTATATGTTTGATATGGCGAGGAGCATTATTACGGGGATTACTGAGGTTTAATGTTAAGATAAAAAGCACTAAAAAGCGGCATAAGTGTATTGCCGGTGGTTAACTTGTCATAATCAATACGTTCAGACACAACTAAGGAAGTAGATTCAAGTACATATGTATAATATTATACAGATACATAACACAAGCCTCCAACATAACCATAAATTCTTCATTAGATACAGAAACTGCCCTACTAGTTATATCAATACAACTCTTTATAGTTTTTTGAGTAGATTTAATTGGAGTATCCAGTTTTGTTTTTTTATTGATTTTAAAAAAACAACTCGGCAGCAAAGGCCGTTAGTTCACAATACTTAATAACAATTTAGATTATATACATAGCGTTCATAGATAGAATTATATTTTGTTAATTAAATTAGTTAGTTTAAGAAATTTAAGCGTTTTTTCGTTCTGATCAGGTTGTGGTCCGAGAGTTGAGTCGAGGGTTTCGGTCAAGTTGAGGTCCATTCGCTCCTGGTCGTAAACATGACATTCAGTCAAGATGTGTTTGACGGTGAGGTATTGGCCACAGGCTTCACAGAAGGGGGGTTCGTCATTAGACATGAGATATCCATGGGTAAGTCTAGTGTGTCCTATTCTTAAACGATTCTGAAGGTTGTTGACTTGATCTGGTTTAATTTAGTAGTCTGTCTATACCAAGATATGTGCCATTTTTTTCTTATATATGTTTTCAATGAGTTTTTAAAGTCGTCGTAGGTGATGAAGTCTAATAATGGCGTGTTCTTGTCGGAGATGGCCATATTAGCATATGTATCCGCAGTTTCGTTACCTGAGATACCGGTACGCCCTGGAATCCAAGTTAGTATAATATGTTTTTTTTTTTTGTTTAATTTCGTCAATTTTATTTTGGATGAGGATGGCAATGTCACCGGGGTTGGTTTTGTTTTTAACACTGTTTATGGCGCTGAGGGAATCAACCCTAAGAATTAAAAAACTGGTGTGATGAGGTGTTTATTACTTCAATGGCTTTTAAAATTGCCGAGTATCCAGTTTATAATTACGATTAAGTTAGATACTATATAACTGACAAATAATGATGAAACAAAACACTAGCACACAGTGTATAACAGAAAGTTACTGCACAGACGGTTAAATTTGTATATTTTGTATAAATTTAATATTTGTAAAAATCAATACATTCATCGCTCAGAATCTAAAATACAAATAATAAACAAAAGAAGTCTTATATTTAGGCAATATTATTATATTTAATTATTTAAAATAATACAGTTTGTAAGCGAGGTCTCGAGCATTTCGTTGTTCGGGGTAACCACGCTTTAAGTGTATATTTTGACTAAGATAAGTGGACTGTATTATGTGTATAATGAAATAATATGATGTATTGAAAAATTATAAGAAAGTCAATGTAACTTATAATACATCAAAGAATATAATTGTACGAAATTACAATACAATATTTGGATATTTTAGCAAATAATAATACAAAATTATAACAGACAATTGCTAAATTATTATTACAATAAAACAAATTCTTACCGCGTACTGCGCCACTGCAACAGCCGATAGTAAGCTTTACGCGGCAACCACCAACGTAAAATATATGTCACGATCACGAAATAATTACGCGGAAATTACCAACGCAATAAAAACCGTGACTAGCCACTAGACAGACGCGGTAGCCTGTATATATAGGGACCGTCGTGGATAGATCACCAGAGGGGAGGGGGGTGCCGCGTCTAGAATATTCGTGCGCTGTCGCGGTGACACAGGCGCAACTATAGAATGATCGAGAACAGTTTCGATCATTCCAGAGCTGTACCCAACATCCTCCCGCCTTTGAAAGGATACTTTCAAAATTTTATAGTTATACAAATAATGGGTAATGAATTGTACATCTTTTACTCTTTTACATAAAATAAATATAAAATACAACACTGGTTGATAGAAGAATCTTCCGATCAGGACACAGGCAACTTCACCACTTTTACTACTGGACGCTTCAAGGTTCCTTCAGCTGTCTTCAACGTCACAACGCGTACAACTTCATCTGCACCTGGATGGACGTCAGTCACTCTTCCTAATTGCCATGACATGACAGGTCGTACTGGAGACTTTACGACAACCAAATCACCGATGTTTAAGTTGGTATCTTGCCTTAACCACTTTTGGCGGCCTTGCAATGTCTGTAAGTACTCATTGGTCCATCGTTTCCAAAAAGACTGCTGCGCTTGTTTGATCAGTTGCCATCTGTTTAGACGGTTGATTTTAACGTCCGTCAAATCAGGTTCTGGAACTGCCATGAGGGGTTGTCCTATCAGAAAGTGCCCAGGAGTTAAAGCACACAAATCGTTTGGGTCACTGGAGACACTTGTGAGTGGACGCGAATTTAAGATTCCTTCGATGCGAATTATTAGTGTGGTAAATTCTTCCATGGTCATTATTTGATCACCGATGACTTTTCTCAAATGAGTCTTGACACTTTTAATTGCGGCCTCCCAGATACCTCCAAAATGAGGGGCCGCAGGTGGATTAAAATACCACTGACATGGGATCCTACCGATCGAAAGCAGCAAGAAACGCTTCCGTGGATAAGTCGCTCACCACTTCCAGATGGACTGCCTTCACTGATAAACACACAAATAGAGCAAGATAACCCTTATTAGTCTTGGCACCTCGTCGACGGCTTTCTTTCACAAAAAGTTATTTAAAAAAAAATAAATGTTTGAACTTGTAACGCAGGGTATTGCAACAGTCAAATTAATTCGTATTCAAATAAGTTTCAAACAAAAAAACTATAGAAATACACGTGAAACCAATAAAAAATGTTGACTCCATAATATATAGGTACCTGTAATATAATCCGGGATATTGAATCCTGTTTAAATATTATATAATAAACATTAATGTAATGCAATACAAACTTGTAAATTATAATGGTATATATTGTTGATTGTTCAATAAATTGTTGATCGTACAAGAATAATAATAATTAATATATTATGGATAATGACATTATCTAACTTTGGATATTGACTGAGAATGATTGTGAAGTATTTCAGTTAATGATCAGGCAGCTTGGGACTTGTTTTGGTGATTTCATACATTCGGAATTCAGTTATAAAGTTATTGATGGTGACTTAGACCCACAAGCTAATATTAACATTTATTATTGTTGGACACATAAATGTATCGAACAATATATCCCTTGTAGACAATAGCACTATGTACAATTAAATAAATCACTTTTTAACTAATTGGTTCATGTTATCATAAAATATAAAAACGCTACTAATTTTAAAAACAATAACCGATCGGCATTCTAATTTATCATTGATTTCAGACTTCAGTTAACCTGGTGACAGTCGTGTACGATGTACTATTCTCCATTGCATATTCATTTTTTTTTAAAACATCTTTATACCGGTAACGCTGGGCGAGGAAATTATGAAACAATTTTAAATGAGTTTCAAACAAAAGAACTATAGGTATGTATGAATAACTAACAACAAATATTAACTCAAAAATATACCTGTTGAGCTTGTACTCGGATCATTAACT